TAGAGATAAGCAGTACAAATGAAGAACTACCAGCTATAGTCCAGCTCCTTCACTTTTAATTATGTGAAACTGGGGTGGGCACAAATTGAGGGCTGTGGCAGTCTCCAATAGTGGACAGAACAGGTCATATTTTTTCCCCACCTCTTTTGTCTTTGTTTTTAAAGGATGCACTGAAAGTTGGGTGGACTGAAGAAGCTTCTTGGATGAGAAGCGAAACATCAAGGAAAAACCAAGAAAGTCCAGTTGCCTTTTGAAAGAACACATTTGAAACAACCATGAAACAACTGAGAATCACTATAGCCGAATATATACGGCTGCATCTTCATACATTTGCAACCTTAATAACAAAACAAAAATCTCACAGAACTTTAAAAACAAATTTATTAGGGCAAAGGCTTCTTTTAGCACCATGGACAATATGGACATTGTAACAACATGGACTATCCATGACATTCAGTCCTTCAAATGATTATACACTTTCCTTAAGTGTTGATGAAATCTGACAAGCTAGATTTACTGCCGACAGCCAAAGCTTCAGTTGGTTGCCCACATCTGACAAAAACAATTTATTTAATTTGTTGTCAGTGTTAAATCCTGGAATTGAAGCTTGTTTTTCTATTTCAGACTCATTTATAAAATCAGAACTAGTTTCTTTTAGTTTTCTCCCAAGTATAAAAAACAAAAAGATTTGCTTTATTTGGTTGACTTTAATTGGAAAAGGTGCTCTAGTTGAAGACTCAATTACAAGTTGTCTCTTGCTGCCCTCTGCTGGACCGAGTTGTCATTCATGTTACTGGAAGAAAAAAGATGCAATAGCTACTACTTTTTCTGTGCTCCCTCTGCAAATCCAAGAACGTGAAGAGTGGTTGAACATTTGCTTTTTACTAACCCCTGACCTTGCAGCTGTGTTGAGCTATAATTCCCAGCACCCGGAGCCAGAATGAACTGTAGTGAGTTGTTGGGAACTGTATTTCATTAATAACCAGAAAGTCAGAAGTGGGTTTTTTTCTCTCCTTTCCATTCAATTGTGTTCATTCCTGGAGACTTACCTGAGCAATTCCATGTAGATTTCTTGCAAAGTTTTTCAGAAGTAGTTTGCCATTACCTTCTTCCTAGGGCTGAAAAAATTGGCTGGCCCGAGGTCACACAGATGGGGTTTTGTTCCAAACTCAAATATTCCTAGTTTCTAGTGATGCCTTAACCGCTACACCAAACTAGCTCTTATTCAGCCTTAAATATAAATGATTACCACCAAGAAACTTTTTAAACCTTCACATGTCTGACTTTACAGTGTTTACTCGTGTGTGCTCCGATTTTCCAAACAAACACACCTAGGATTAACGTGTGAAAGTTAAAATGTCTACACCACATGCTGAATAAATCAGGGCCAGCTTGAAATATCAGTCAGATCAGAAAATTCCTCCTTCAATAAAAGGCACAATTGCAGAGTAATCTAGAGCACTGGTTCATAGGAGAATAAAAAAACCTTCCCAGTAAAAACACATTCACTTTTTTCTATCTTTCACCAACCCTTGAAATCATTGCCTTCTTCAGAAGAACAGGACACCTGATGACCGTAGATGCTTCTGAACTACACGGCACAGATACTTCCCCAATTAGCTATGCCAGTTGAGATTCCCGGGAATTGCAGTTTAATAGCACCTGGGAAGTCATAGCTTTCCAACTGGGTGCAGAGAAACTTGCATGAAATGGCAAGCAGATGAGGCTCATCCAGACAATAATAGAGCCAGACTCTGGCAAACAGAGATTAACTTGTAAGCCAAGCATGTTTTAAGCAGACACTTTCATTCATGCTACTGATTCTAAGTAAACAAGAGGAAGTAAAGTTACACAACTCTGTGGAGGGGGAATTTAAAGCTAAAGGCCTCTAACACCTGGGGTGTGGCTCCACATCTTAGCACAGATAAAAGGTGGAGCATAAAAGCCATTTGCATAAACTTTCCAAGTTTTTAGTGCTCCGTTAATTCTGTAAGTAGCTTGCTATGGCTGATACATTGCAAAGTGTGTGGTTTTCTAAAATGCTGGGTGTATGTTTGTTGTAGCTTGGTTTGTGTTATGTGTCAATCCCATCCAAAGAAGTTATTCTGTGAGATAATACTAGGAATGTATTCAATGCACAAATTGGTAAAGAACTATGATTATATTTGTGTTTGGATTTGTTTAGCAATTCATGGCCTGTGTATGTTAAGAGTGACAGCATACGTTCAATTAACATCCTAAATTTAGGTTTAAAAGTGTCTTATTTTTCTGCACTGTGTGCCTAGACCTTAAGTAACTTTCTGTAAGATTTTGCTTGGCCTCAGCTGTGTTCATATGACATACTGAATCCATACTGAACATTTCCAATTAGTGTATGTCGGACAAACCCAGTTTCTGCACAGTTCATAGTTCAGTGTGCGGTGTGAATCTAGAAAAAGGAGTTGAATACACTAAACATTTAGTTGTAGGTTGTCATGCAAAATACAGAACATGATGGGTTTTCTTCCTTTTTTGCACTTTTGCTGCAGTCTCCTTTAAGGAGGATTTTTTTAAAATTCTCCTCAGAAAACAGTTTAGAAAATAACCATGCTGTGAAAAATAAGGTGAAAACTTTACCTCTGTAACTATGATATTCCTTCTACTTCAAAATATGGTAATATTCTACTAATAACCAAAATATTGGTTATTAGTAGAATATTAAGTATATGTCTAGTCACTTTAAGACACTCCTGTTCTTGTCAGTGCTACTCACTGACTATAGTCTTGCAATACATTTAATTGGATTATTTGATTACCTCATTACTGAATTAACACAGCACCAGGATCACATAATTATGCTTTGGTAGATGAAATCAGGCTGCATTTGGACAATATGTTAAGGTGGATTAGTGCTAATGTTGTGCAAGTGTGTGATTGTATCTTGACATGTCCTAAGTACTCAGTTATTTGATTCACAGTTCAGGGTGTCTTGAGTGGGTGAATTCAGTACCATGCTTAATGGCATAGTGTCATTAGGTAACAAACTGATTCTTAAATATATGAACTGGATTGGTTTTGCACAACTTTCTGTCTCCCAGAAAGCCAAGTTTAAAACTAGAGCTGTTCAGCATTTTGTCTAAATGCAGCTACTAATCAACTGTGTAAACAGTTGTGATCCTTACTATACCCTTTTAAGGTACACACTACTTTTAAGGTAGCAAATAGAAGCATTCAGTTTCTATTCCTCTGGTGTTTGATGTCCGCTTATGAATTAAAACAAGCAAGCAAACATCTAGGTTAAAAGTGGTAGAGAGAGACACAGACTGGATTCATACTGATACAATGTGGTTTGCTGATTCTGGCTTAGAAACCCTTTGAATCCATTCATTGTCACAGAGAACATTTTCTGCTTTTATCCACTGTGATGAAGGCACCAAAGAACGGCGTATTGATGAACCAGGTTATACGAACCATGGCTCTCTGCCTCCAGGTGACTTTCCTACAGCCAAGCTTTCCAATTTCACACAGGAGATGAAGCGAGTGCATACCAGGGTCTTTAATGGTCAGCTCTCAGCCAGCGCTGCAGATTCGCAATTACAATTTGCCAGTTGCTGGTCAAGCAATCATTGCGTAGCTATTAGGCAATAACTGGGACTCTCACCACTCAATTTCGCACCACAAAACCAAACCAAAAGTAAATTGCAAAAACTCTTGCCTGCTTTCTCTTGGTGGCATATCGTCAATTCTGTATGACAGTGGTGGCGAGCCTATGGCACGGGTGCCAGAGGTGCCACTCGGAGCCCTCTCTGTGGGCACACGTGCCATTGCCCCAGCCTCGTCTCCCCCCGCAACCCCCTCCTCCCCAGCAGCCCCCCTGAAGGAGAGTCGCCCCTGAGCGTGGCCCACTCGGAGCAGCGCAGCCAAGGACATGGCAACCAGGCAGCGTAGACAAGACTCTGCCCTCACACCCCATCGTGCACAGTTGATGCTGTGGGTTGCGGGCAGAGGGCGTGACCGCCATAGCGCTGCTGGGCTGCCTGGGCGATCTGCGGCGGGCCCTGGAGGCAGTGAGTGGCCCTGCGGGCAGGCGGAGTGGGGGGGGGGGTGGAGCGGGGGCGGGGCCAGTTTTTGGACACTCGGTCTCTAAAAGGTTCACCATCACTGCTGTATGATAACCCCTTCACAGAGCCATGCCATCCATGGCTGGCATCCATGGCTGGGAGGATGGTGAACTGGGCATTCTCTCCATCAGCTGCAAAAACTGTCCTAGGAAAGTCTATTTTTGAGCAACACAAGCTGTTTCCAAATGGAAGATTCCTATTAGCCTAAACCTCGGGCTATATAGCAGAAGACAGAAATGTCATGGTAAGTGTCCAACAACGGCATTAATGGGACACCAGAGGGCTCAGTGCCCTTTCTAAGTGGACTTGAATCTACACCTGATAATGTTTTGAGTGCAGCGTGTGAAGCTGATATTATAATACAGCTATTATTCTGCAAGAAGAATAAGCAGACCTGAAAATGGATTGAGTCTGCCTAATACATTGAAAATACGTGCTACAGATATGCAAAGCAATGTTGCTGTGATGAGGCCCTCTCTCTTCCCGGTGCCTTGGGTGAGGGTCAGTCTGCCTCAATCAGCCTGTCACTTTGGTGAATAAGGCTTTTGAGCAAGCCAGGGACCTACTTTGCTCAAACATCAAAGCATTTTGAAGAGGCACTTCAATCAAAGTCTTCAAAGCTCTGTACACACACTGTTATTTGCCCAAAAGAGCTTGGGGAATGAATAGGGGAAAAGTTGATAACATTAATTGACCTGTTTCTCTCCAGATATGTTGAGACTACAATTCCTTAAATTCTCCTGGATTTCTGAAAGTCGGACCTTCGACCAATCTGGAGGGCAACAGATTGGGGAAAACTCATCATGTTCTGATATTTTCAAATCTCCTCCTCCTCCTCCTCCTCCTCCTCCTCCACCTTGACATTGTTGGCCCTTCTTATTCCAGATTCACCTAAACAAGATGACCTCATTTTCCTCAAATTCAGATTCATCTTCTAATGAAGGAAATCATGTGTCTGTGTTTTGGGGTAAGATGTGTTGGGGGGGCTAGTAAAATAAACATCCTTTCATTATTAAATCTTGGGTCTTTTTTTTTTTTTAACGAATCGAGATTATTGGTAACCAAGCTGTTAGATTAGACTGGTCAAATCCCTTCCTGACTAATATCCATTAGGAGCATCTCAAATCATCGTAGATTACACTGTAGAAATGCAGCAAACAAATGCTGGTGGGTGCAATTTCTCACCTCTTCCCCCCCCCCCCAAAGAGAGAAAGTAGATTGAATAATTTCATAATATCTCATATCTCCCTTTGGCAATTTACTGAATTGTAAGAACTCTGGAAGACTGCAGAATATTGGAGAGAGATCGTCCAATTACCGACTTCAGTCATCTCTTAACTAAGATGGGGGGGGGGGGGGGCAAAACTCCATCTCTTAAAAAGAAGGGTTTCATGATTTGTTTTCTCTTCCTTTTCTGCATGAGTGGGGGAAGAGAGAGGGGGAATCCACCAGATTGAGTAAAAATACTCAGGAAAACACACAAAATACATTTTTAGCTTAGCCCAGGTATATATCTTTTGGCAAATGTTATCCTTTTCTATTTTTCTTTCTTTCTTTTTTTCTATTTTCCATATGGTTTACTGGTATCTCTGTATAGGTTGTGAATTGAATGCCACCACCCGGAGATGTGTCGTGAAAGAAGATGATGACTTATTAGAACACTTGGTATATTTGAGGACGGTAAGTTTCAGTAGAAAAGAATCTCTGTAGGTCAAGGTTGAAGGTGGTGCCCTCTGAGCTTGGGTGGTTTGCTTGCAGCCATTTCATTACCTGACTAGGTAACATCATCAGTGTTAATACCGTAGCTCTGGGATCAGATAAACCTCCAAGTGGCCTCAAGAGCTCTCAAGAAGAGTGCTAAGACCTTTACTTGATGTTACATATTCTCACGGCTGCTAGATTGGCCAACACACAAAACTGGAGGAACAAAGAAATTCCAACAGAAGAAGAGATTCTATATAAAATCTTATTGTGTGCTGATATGGATAGGCTCACTATGGAATTAAAGGACAAGACAGAAATGGACTATTTTGAAATCTGGGATAAATTTTTATTGCTGGTACGAGTCAAGGAGAACTGTTCGGGTTTTAAGTTAGTGTTAAGATTGTGGTATATAAAACTGTATGCTAGTATATAGAGAAACAAATTTGAGACTGTATTATATAGGAAAATAGGTATATATAGAGATTAGGAATTGTATGTATGACAAGGAACAAGTTGTTAGGATTATATATATTGGGACGACACGTTATGTCCTTTTTTGTTTTAACTGTTTTATTAATTAAAAACTTTTTTAAAAAAGAAGAGTGCTAAGACCAGATGACAGCAAAGAAATATGATCCTTCCAACTCCCCCCCCCAATCCTGTCAGAACTAATCTCTCCACAGCCCCCACCACCCTGCCAGAACCGATGAAGCTTCTTGGATGTCTATGGAGATTTTCAGTCATCCAGTTCATTGTTGACCCAAAGGTGCTTTTTGAAAAGAACTGAAGAAGCTCCTTGGATGAGAAGCAAAAGGTCTTCAAGGAAAAGTAAATAAAGTCCAGTTGCCTTTTGAAAACACACCTTTGGGACTAGCTTCTTGGATGAGAAGTAAAACATCTTCCTCAAGGAAAAACTAATCCGGTTGCCTTTTGAAAGAGCATCTTTGGGACAGCTATGACTTGAATGACTGAGAATCTACCCAGTGACTGTTTTTTTTGTCTTCTGTTTATATATGGATAATAAAACAGCTGCAAGGAAAAAAGCAAGCTTGGAGAGCATCAAGATTTCCAACAGTAACTTTCCAATATTGGATGCAACCTCTGGACATAATTCTTCACATTTTTCTGGAAAGAATTCTTTTTCATAAATTAATGTTGGGGAATATGTGCCCTTCTAGATTTTCATAGATACCAGTTCCTACCCTCTCTAACCAACATAGTCAATTGCCAAAAATGATGGGAGCTACAATCCAACAAAGTTTGTGGGTGGCCCTACAATGCCTTAAACCTCTGTTTAAAATGTTCCTTGTTCTACACATTCTGGAGTAAGGGTATAGATGCAGATGTTCAGGAAGGTTTGTGAAGGCTTTAGATCAGGGGTCTTCAAACTTGGCCCTTTTATGACTTGTGGACTTCAACTCCCAGAATTCCTCAGCCAGGCAGTTGAAGTCCACAAGTCATAAAAGGGCCAAGTTTGAAGACCCCCTGCTTTAGATTCAGCCCTGGTATGAAGGTCAATAAAGGATTCTGAGTAAATACTCAGAAAAGGCCACTGATTGTTTTTTATTTCTTACCGCTCAAGGTCGCCCTGGGTGAAGATGCTAATGATGAGACCCATGTGGTGGCTGTCGAATCAAGAAATATGGCCAGTGTTCCTGAGCCAGTACCGATTGTATCGTTGAAACATTCTGTCTTACCAATGGTAATGCATAGAGGCATGCGGTGTGGGGGGGGTTGTTTTATGCTATTTCTAATTTGTATTAAATAGCCAATGCTATTTTAATTTATATCTGTGCATGCTTTACAAATGGTTCAGAAGTCTTCCTAACTAACAAATTGGACATGCCTGAGAGAGGTAATTTTCTAGGTATTTGTATCTTAAAGTGCATTAGGAAGCTATCTACTAGGCAACATCTGATATAAAATTATTTGGACATGTCCTAGCTAATAATGTAGAGGATTTGAATAGAGCAGAGCAGGGCAGAACAGAACAGGACAGAACACTTTATTGACCAAGTGTAATTGGACACCAAAGGAATTTGTCTCCAGTGCACAAATTCTCAGTGTACATGCAAACATACAATATATTCATCCTACATGTATTGTAGGAGAAGGAGAAGAGCAGCATTCTGAAACCCGGCATCTGTTTGTTTGTTTTTAATATATAACAGGTTTGTCTTGACGGCTTTGAATTACTTCCCCCAGTTTCTTTTATCCTAAAATCAGGAATGGGTCCAGTATATCTCAACGGGCAGCACCTGATCTGTAAGTAGAAGCCATGGCTCTTAAGTGCATGCATGAGAAGCGACTGGGAAGTAGTGAGTAGATAATTAGATCAGGAGATGTGACCTGGAGTTGTATATAGAAATTCATTTGCCAAACCATCATGAGATGTAGATGAATTAATCTATATACCTATATAACAACCAGGAATTAATGGGGGGGGGGTTATTTCATATAAAAATATACAAGGTATGGGGAAAATACGTTTGTATCTTCGGAGGGTATATGTAGCAGCAGCTAAAACACCATGCAATTCTTGCTGTCAATGAATTATTGTTAAATGTAACATTGGCAGTAGCTCCATAGTGCCTCCAGATACCAATGAAGGAATGGATTGGGAAATTGAAGTGTGATTGACATCATTGATATATGAATCTATGATGGCTTTTTAAAATCATACATATCAACCTTCCCCAACCTGAGTGATGCTCCTCAAGTGGAACAATCACAAGAAAGTTATTATTGATGTTTTGGTCTAGACAAAACATTGGGAAGGCTGGTAAGTATTCTATCAAGGGTTATTAACTGTAATTGTGTCGTGAAATATCACTATCTAGATGTTTGTTTTCTTTTTTTAGAAAGAAAGCAGAGGTTTTCTTGGGGGGTGAGGGAAAAGAAGATTATTAATTGAAGTGATAGACAGGAGAAGAGGCGTCTAATCTTTTCCAAAGTTTGGGCTTTTTCCATTTTTTTTTTAAAAACCTGTTTGTAAGCTGCTTTTTCATCCTAACTGCCACAGACAAATACAGGCATGCTGAATTGATGAGTATGAAAGAATGATTAAAAATCCCCTATGTGGTCTAATTTCTTCAGCTAACTTTGATTTTTTTTTAAGAGAGAGAAAAATGTAAAATGTAAAAATCATTATTTAACTTACTTTCTTGCAGGCATCTGTTGCTTTTCTCTCTCTCCCTTCTTTAGGGAAGTGTAATATTTTATTCTTTATCCTGTTTACAAACCACTTTTAAACTTCCTATTGAAAGCAGTGTATAGCTAAACCAGTAATCAAAAAGGTATTGAAACTTAATGTCTTTTATGGCTAAGGAAAATGACCTACATGCTCAGATTTTTAGTTATTAAATGTTAACAGCTGTACAAACTGTAATATTTAAAAGGATGAAAAAATTTAACATTTTACAAGCAATACCCACATATCATACCATCCAGAAATCAATCTTTTTTTCTCTTCCTCAACTGGTTTCAATTTATATGCTAATTTTTCCAACTTTACTTAGAATCCCCATTTTAGGTACTTTTTTGTTTTTATTGACTAATAATAAAAACATTAACACAGCGGTTCTCAACCTATGGGTCGTGACCCCATTTGGGGTCGATCGACCATTTCACGGGGGTCGCCAAGCAAGGCTGTCCGCCATTTTTTTCCTCTTTTCTGGCGGGTGCCTTACCTCCCTTGAGCTGGGCCAGCTGGTGGTCGGCCTTCTCCGTCTCTGCCGCTTGCCAGCTACGCCTCGGCCGGTGCAGGGGGCGGAACCACGCATGCGCGGAGCTTCCGGACAGGAAAAGTCCTCGACTTACGACCGGTTGGGTAGTCCTCGACTTACGACCGGTTTAGTCCTCGACTTACGACCGGTTTAATCCTCGACTTACGACCGATTGGGGGTCGCGGCATTGAAAAGGTTGAGAACCACTGCATTAACAGCACCTTTTCACACTGGTATAAAAGAACAAGTTAGGTATATTTATACAGTCTTATCTATAAAACAAAACAAAGTACTCTCGCATTTTTTTAATCTGAATTTTTTAGTTTATTCAAAAAAGGTTAAAATATAAAACGCCAAAATATTTTTTAAAAGAAAAAAAAGACATACTATAAAGAAGACATTTAAAAAGTGTCTTAAAAAGGGGAAAAAAAAAAAGACTAACACGCTTGCATTTTTATATATGGATTTACTGTAATATTTGGTCAACCGGAAATGTTGCTAGGTAAAGACAGACCGTGTATTAAAAATATAATGAAAAGGATTAAAACAATATTGAAGCTATTATTGAGAGGTCCTGCTGTGCAAATAAAACCAAGAATGGATTAGAAAGGCATCCTAAACAACCCTAAGATATAAGTCCAAAATAAATAGTTTGAAATTCAAGTTCATGAAGCTTGATACTCTTACACATATTCTTGGGCTTCAATGTCTAACATCTGAGGCTACTCCTGTGAAGCAGAACCCAACAAAACATCCAATCAGAGTAATTGGGCCAATGACTACAAGCTTTGACCCATGTCTAGAAGTTGTAGGTGCTCCAACACTGGAGGTTTCTAAGAAGAGATTGGACAACCATTTATTAGGGGCCTGGAGGCTAAACCATATGCAGAACGGTTGCAGAATTTGGGTATGTCTAGTCTAGTGAAAAGAAGGAATAGGGCTGACATGATAGCAGTGTTCCAGTATTTGAGGGGCTGCCCCAAAGGAGAGGGGGTCAACCTATTTTGGAAAGCAACCAGAAGACAAGACAAGAAGCAACAGATGGAAACTAATCAAGGAGAGAAGCAACCTGGAATTAAGGAGAAACTTTCTGACAGTGAGAACAGTTCACCAGTGGAATGGCTTGCCTTCAGAAGTTGTGGGTGCTCCATCACTTTTAAGAAGAGACTGGACAGCCACTTGTCTGAAATGGTATAGGGTCTCCTGCTTGAGCAGGAGGTTGGATTAGAAGACCTCCAAGTCCCTTCCAGCTCTGTTATTCTGTTATTCTCTGCTTTCCTCCCAGCATTTAAAAAAAAAAAAGCAGCTTTTGCTCCCTTTGTGACATCACATGCTGCTCTGGCTTCCATTCTGCTCTTCCTTCCCATGGATTCATTTTAACTGTCACAGAACTCTTGTTGGTGCTGAGGACAGTGGCTGAGCTAACAGGGGGGAATCAAAGGAGGATTTACCAGCTGCCTCCTTCAGCGCACCACTAGGCAAGCTGCTTCCAGACGTCTCTTGCTGGTGGTCCAAAGCTTTTTGGGGGTTCTAGGGGAAAGGAGGTGATGCTCTTCAAAGGGGCCCAGTGGTGGTGGATGTTATGTTTAGTACTGCCTTGCAATTCTTTCCTGCAAGTGGAGGATGACTCCGACTACGAGCCGACGGATGATGAAATTCCAGATGATGCTGATGTTGACGACGACAGCTTTGATGACGAAGAAGAACTACCAAGTCCGGAGATGCCAGCTGTGAGTTTGGTCGATTTTATGGATGATGGGGTTTTTTCCCCATAGTTGGGGGTGGATAGATGGATAACGTTTCTTACTTTTCCAGACTTTTCTACCATCTTTAAAAAGAAAAAAGAAAATCTAAACTCTTATCAGCCTGTATTGTTCCCAGTCCAGAGTGATGTACCTTGACTTACAACAGTTCATTTAGTGACCGTTCAAAGTTACAATAGCATAGAAAAAAGGGACTTAGGACCGTTTTTCACTCTTATGACCTCTCCAGCATCCCCATGGTCACGTGATCAAAATTCATATGCTTGGCAACTGGTTCCTATTGATGATTGTTGTTGTGTCCCAAGACCATGTGATCCCCTTTTGCAACCTTTTGTATATTTTCTTGTGTTTTCTTTTGTTGCACTTGCATTTTGGTCTGTGACCACAAATAAAAATCATTAGCTGATTATTAGCAACCTTTTGCAACGGGGAAGCCAAATTCACTTAACAACTGAGTTACTAACTTATCAACTGCAGTGTTTCACTTAACAACTGAGGCAAGAAAGGTTGTCAATTGGGGCAAAACCCACTGAACAAATGTCTCACTTAACAACAGAAATTTTAGGCTCAATTGTGGTCTTAAGTGGAGGATTACCTGTTTTTAAGATAGGCGGCTATATATACATTTTTTAAAATAAATAAATCCTATTCCTTTGATATCTTAATGTCTGCCTCCTGATGCTGCCTAAAGGACTCATCGCCACCATCTCTCTAATTGGCCTTAGGGTGCTATTTAGTTCAGCATAGTAAACCATAAGGATATCATTGCAAACGGCAAGACAGGGCATCTTACATACTGATTGCTAATCAGGAGACAGAAAAAGTGCATGTAATTCCCTATATGCTAGTTGAAAGGAAAAGACAGAAGTTAGCGTAGCACAGAATATACAATATGGTGGCCATAGCCAGGCTCCCTATTTCTTCTGGCTTTAGGTTTTTGGTTAAAAGTACGTTTTGGGTTAAAAACAATAGCGAAGGTAGCTTGCCGAGAAATAATAAATCGGTATTCAGCATCCTCTTTATTTCCAAAAAGGTCTTTAGATGTTGTGTCGGTTCCATAGGCTTTCTTAATAAATAAAGCTGGGGGTGGTTTTTAAGACCATTACCAAAAGGTGTTCCTTTGCTTAGGGGAAAAAAAACTAAGAAGAGTAGTAGATTTGGTCCCACTGGTTTAGCGGAATGCAACCTGGGGGAGATAGGGGCAATTGAATATAAACATGGATAAGCCATGTTCACCATAGAAATTATTCTATGACCAAGGAAAACAAATTTTCAAGATTACTTCCAGATTTCCCTCTGGTAGAGCATGCTTTTTTTCCTTTGCTGCCTTCTTTGAGATGGAAAATGGATGTTCTTCTGTGTACAGACCATGAAATTCCATTTGGATACGGGGAACATCCTAACTGAGAATCCAGTTTGATGTAGTATTAAGGCCTCAGGCTAGAATCTGGAAGACTGAGAGTTCTAGTCCTGCTTTATTTATTTTCATATTGCCTATATTATTTTTATCAATAATTCAAGGCACCAAACCTGCCTAATTTTCCATCCTTGTCCTATTTTCTCCACAACCAGAACCCTGTAATGTGGGTTGTGTGAGTGACCTTTGGGTTTCTTCTCCATAGGAAGAGACATCGAATCAAATTTCCTAGCTGCAGCAAGTATCATCTGAAGGAGACCTGCCAAAGAATCGAGTTTGGATTGGTTCCTGCCAATGGATTATTCTAAAGAAGCCTGATTAAAAATGTATTGCAGTAAAAGCTGTTGTTTGCTTGTGGGTCTACCACAGTCTCCTTTTTGGATGGGTGGTTAGGAAAGGGAGATGCTAAAGTTGTCACCAATGACTTGGTTTGTTTGTTTTTTTGATAGTGTGACTCAAGCATATGTTATTTATCAGATTCAAGCGCTGTGGAACTGGGTAACACTTTTCATTGTTCACATTCATGGACAATGGTGGTCACCATCAAGGTTGTGGTGGGGTAGAGGTCTAGGACCTCACTTGGCAAAATGGGTTGGACAGTCCCAATTGCAGCAGGACATGCTCAAGCTACAGATGATCAACCTATGTTATTTTAGATTATCTTCTGAGTGAATTGAAGGAAAACGTTTATAACTGAAATAAAAGGTGTCTTATTTTGTTTAAAAAAAAAATCAGTCCATGATTATATCCTTGTCAATTGCCAATGCTCCTCCTGTGCTATTGGTCTGAACAGATCCTAAGCACAGATATATTTGGATAGGATATACTATATGATATAAGTTAAGTAAAGTTGCTACATTCTCAAGCATGGCTCCTAAACTCCAATTGTCCAGCTCATGCAATTGGACCACACAGATTTTAGCAAGGTATCTTTAATGCTAGTTAGAGGTTAATACACAATGTTGGAAACTGCCAGAGAAAACTTCCTTCCTTCCTTCCTTCCTTCCTTCCTTCCTTCCTTCCTTCCTTCCTTCCTTCCTTCCTTCCTTCCTCATCTCTTCTTGGAATGAGTTGAAATACTTCTTCCCATGATTCTATGCCAATAGGACCAAAGTGCCATTTAAGAGAAAACCTGTCAATTTGTCTGCTACTTATTCATTGTTTGTCTATTCTTCTTCACCATTTTTCATCCGAAGCTAGGTTTATCCCAGGAATGCACAACCTGAGATTCTATAGGTAATTAAAATGGTAATTAAACATCTTTCCTTAGATCAAAAGGAATTTTCCCCCTTTTATTGATCCCAATAGATTAAGAACCTTGTGGGATTAAAAGCCTAAAGTTCTGTTCCCATGTAACCTACTAAATACTTCTAAAAGCACATCTTTAATTTTGGCATACTCCAGAGATTGGCATTTAACTGGGTGCTGGCCACCTGATCATGGAGGCAAGAAAATGACATTAGTCCAATAAAAACTGTTAGTTTCATTGTGAACAAATGATTAATTCCCATCTAACATTAAATCCATCTGCATTAGTGGTAATATATTATGAACAGCATGCTGGTTTAAAACAGAAGAATTCTGAAAGTCCAATCTAATGTAGTCCAGACTGGGTGGGACTAAAAAGTTCAATCAATCAATTCCAACTTTGCAAGATCTTTTTTTTTCCCACGAGAAGTTGAAATTGATGGATTGAACCTTTTTTTTTTTTTTGCACACGGCTGCGGAGGCCTAAAGCAAAAAGGTTTTATAAAACCCAGCTGAAGGCCTAGGACTGGGGCGATGGCGCGTGTGCCCACAGAGAGGGCTCTGAGTGCCGCCTCTGGCACCCGTGCCATAGGTTCGCCACCACTGTGGTAGGGTGTCTCTAGCTTCATTTCTGCTTGCCAATGCTTTGGCTAGGGAATCACTTGAATTTGTCTTTCAAAATATCTATTAACAAGTGTGGAAGCTTCTCTGTCATTGGCTAATTATAAGCTTCTCGTAAGCAGAGTGCTGGGTAGATATGATTTGGATTCCTCTTCCTCTAAGAATTTGGAGCCAGCAGCTTTGAGAATTTGTGATGTTGTAATCCCAGTCGCTTGTTAATGTGTCAGTTCTGAGGAGGTCATCAAAGGAGATGGAGCTTAAAGATGGTACTAAGGGATAGTCCATGTCTTCCAAAGTATATGGGTTGGGTTCATACCAGCTTCTGTACCAAAAACCAATTAAACCATCAAAGGAGATGGAGCTTAAAGATGGTACTAAGGGATAGTCCATGTCTTCCAAAGTATATGGGTTGGGTTCATACCAGCTTCTGTACCAAAAACCAATTAAACCACGTGATGGTTGAACACAATTTGTGAACAAGGCATTGTCTTAAATCTAAAGGTAGTGCTTTGACATATGTGGAGCCAGGAGTATATACATGGTCTCTGGCATTGCCAGTCAACCTTTTGGTACAAATGAGTAAGTATATGTCCATTTTTGCAGGATAACATGACTGATAGCCATCCGATGCTGCTTCATCCTTCACTTAGTTCAGAATGTTGAAAGGCAAATATATTCGGTTTCCCAGGAAACGGTTGCCTTAGGAACTCTGCAAGCTATACTAGAACTTGATGGACCAGTTTTTCAACAGAACAATAGTCTGTCTGAAAAATCATCTTAGTCTTAGCTGAAGTGTGCTATGACAACTCTTTCTGTCTTCTTGGATGTTCCCTTGGCTACGGCAGTAGATTTTCCCTTAGATGTCTACAGGGAAGATCCCTCACCCCAAAAAGTGTGCCTTGGACATGCAGGTAAACTAATTCTTATTCAGACATGAATAGCCCTGTTTACATTGCATGCCAACTTGAAAGAAATCTCTATTGACAAACATGTATACTGTATGCTGCCCTCTTAGATACTGCAGTAACTGAGATTTGTGGTTTACTGTACTGTCCAAATCTGAAGCAGCCCTATTTTGATTCTACGGTGATTGGGAGATCAGGAGATAATAGTTCTGCCTTAGGCACAAAGCCAGCTGGGTGACCTTGAAAAAGTCACTTTCAGCCTTAGGAAGAAGAAGGCAAGAGCAAACCACTTCCAAAAAGTCTTGCCCAAAAAACTGCAGGAATTTGTCGAGGAGATTCCCAAGGCCCAGCATTGAGTAACACGTATCAGGATTTGTAATCCACAACAAACTTTGATGGTAATATCGGGTTTCCTGTGAGAAGAATTAATCAGGAGTGATTTGCCTAAAGAAGCTGTGGATATTCCATCACTGGAGGTTTTCAAGAAGAGATTGTACAACCATTTGTCCGAAATGGTATAGGGCAGGGGTAAGCAACCTTGGCTCTTTTATGACTCATGGACTTCAACTCCCTGAATTCCTGAGCCAGTCATAAAAGAGCCAAGGTTGCCTATCCCTGGTATAGAGTATTCTGCTCAAGCAAAGGGTTAGACTAGAACAGGAGTAGGCAACCTTGGCTCTTCTGGGAGTTGAAGTCCACCAGTCATAAAAGAGCCAAGATTGCCTAGCCCTGGACTAGAAGAACTCCAAGGTTCCTTCCAACCCTGTTATTTTATGTTCTATGTTCTATTTCAGATTTTTTTAAATCTCTAAACAGTACAGTCCCCCTACAAGTTGGAGTGTTTCCCTGGGAAATCTTATGAGAATGGCAGTCTTTCAGAATCACGATGAGTATCCGACAAATGTTTATAGCCTTTAGGATAGAAAAGAAGGTATGAAGGCATGGGGACAATGTTGTACTGTAGTGCCTGCAATATACATCATCACATGCAATGAAGAACATCGTATAAAACCAACATGGAAAACAGCAGACTAAAATGAAAAATATGAAGCACTAACCGAAATAGCAAAATGAGAATTTCAACCAGTAAAGACTATAACCTAGGTACTGAATAGATATCTGTGGGAAGGTCATTCAACTGAAAAAGCCTGTTTTGTGATCACATGAGATTAGTATATATTTTTGATTTGCTGAAAACTGGTGTTTACTTCTGTAAAATGGTTGTAAAATCAGGCACGGTCACAGGACGACCTCCTTAATGGCCAGCACTCCTCACAACCACAATTTTGGGTTCAATTATGGTTATAAGTCAAGGACTGCCTGTATTCAGAGTCTGGTTAGGTGGATTCAGTCCACTTTCCCTTAAGCTGTCAGAGATACAGATATGAATATCATATCATATATGCAGGGTTTTGGATGACTTTCAGACTTGAAGGGGGAGATTTCTCTATTTTTACACCGTGTAAATCCTGTGTGGCATTTCCAGTTAGTGACCATCAGGAGACACCCACACTACCATTATCATCCTTTTTATGAATCTTTAGATGCAAAGAGCCAGATGTTATTCTATGGAGTTCAAAAGGCTCAAGCCATGAGCCCTAGTATAAAAATAACAGTGTGTTGACAGTTTTCATCCCTAAAGCATTGGCAGTTATGTCTCAGTTATGTTGCTTCTCCCAGGATGCCACACTGATAATGCTGATGAAATCTGGATCCCACCAATTGTGAAAAAAATTCTGTGGCAAATCCCTCAAGATCCCACTCTGGATCATGAATACATCAGAGAACTGGGTATCGTGGAGTTCACCAAAACAGCCATGGAACTGGTCATTGGCAAGAACAACCAGGCTGTCTTAGACAACAGGGTATGCAGATATTTATATGAGTATGGCCCTATGCCAGTGATGGCGAACCTTTTAGAGACTGAATGCCCAAACTGCAACCCAGCCCACTTATGCATCATCGAGTGCCGGGTGGGCGTGGCTACGGTGGTCACGGCAGACTGGGTGGGACTAAAAAGTTCAATCAATCAATTCCAACTTTGCAAGTTTTTTTTTTCCTGCGAAAAATTGAAATTGACTGATTGAACTTTTTTTTTTCGCACACAGTGGCGGAGGGCTAAAGCGAAAAGGTTTTATATAACCCAGCTGAAGGCCTAGGACTGGGGCGATGGCACGCGTGCCCACAGAGAGGGCTCTGAGTGCCGCCTCTGGCACCTGTGCCATAGGTTCACCACCACCGCCCTATGCTTAGGAGACCACCACCACCCTATGCTTATGAAAGGAACAAATAGACATTTTTCCTTATTGATTACATTCAAAAGCTTCTATGGAGTCCCATTGGAAACAATGGCGCTGTAGCATCTTTTTTCTTGTTCATTATGACAGTTTATTTTGTTGCCATGGCATGGGAGGAAAGAATGTTTAAGGCCATTAGCAGCTTGGGAATAATCATGAAAAAAAAATAAAAATAAAATGCTGTTGCTCTTGTCAAAGAAAGCTGTGATTTGGCTCACATTTGAGAACCCCTTCTCCAATGAAAGGAAGAAGGGATGCTTAAATCTTGCAGAGGATTAATAAGCTGAGAAGTAATCACAAACACTAACCCATGCCTGTTGGCCTAGAACCAATTTTTAGATTGCCTGTTGAAATAAGGTAGCTAAATTCTTCTTCTGCCTTTCCTACTTTCTGCCTGCATTCAACTTTGGTTCTAAGCAGTGATTTATTTAACCATGACTTATTAAACCCTCCTTAGTTGAGTTCGCATAACATGCTAGCTGGAGAATTCTGGGACTTAAAGTCCGTACATCTCAAAATTGCCCGGACTGAGAAACACTGGCCATGAAAATTAATCTTTTGAAATGTTGAGTTGACAATTCTACATGCTTGTTTGATAAAAAAAATAATCTTCTTTCTCTCTAAACAGGCAGGTGGTGTTCACACAATAGGTGGGACAGGTGCCGTGTGGATCGGAGCTGAATTTTTGCATCGTTGGTATCGATCCAACCATTCAACTCCAGCAATTATCTATATTGCTGAACCACAACTGGGTAGCTAATATATATATATATATTGTCCCTGTTTTGATCTAGTCTTACAGTTAAAACCATTAAAGCCATTAGAAACATTTCTAGGAAAGAAAATCAGACATGACAACAACAAATCAACGGATTAGAAGGTTACGTGGCCTTTATCTCCCATCTGGGTGGTCATAATATAACACAGTGGTTCTCAACCTTTTCTTCATCATGGACCCCCTTAAAATACCTTTTGTGGCCACAGACCCCCAAGACTTAAGATTTAAATCATAACATTTCTTTAAATCTTTGCAGACCCCCTCTGATGACATCACAGCCCCCCCAGAGGTCCGCCAGCTGCAGGTTGAGAACCACTGATGTAGCAGAAATGATCTTATGCCTCTGATTAATGATGTACCTGTGTAGAACTACACATGAATGAGACTTGGTTTTATCATGAGGGCTTCAGCAGTCACACCCTAATAGCAATAAAATTCTTCCTGCCATAAAGTGGCACTCAAACCATGGGTTTGTGTTTTAGAGCATCGGGAGATTGAGATTGAGAACACACCTGTCCCCTGTCCCCAGTCATCTCCAATTTCATAAACCACCACAACAACAAAGCTATTATGTACCCTTGATTCATTTAGCATAATGTTTTCATCTTGCCTATGAAATAGATCTTAATAGACTTAAATTGAGTTACCCGATGATTTTTAATTGAATATTGAATTTAAGACCTTCTGAAGGTAAATCATACACTCAATCACTGAATTATGAGTCTCATCTCATAATTTATTATGAGTGTGCTGTTTAATCCAAGTTAAAAAAAAATAATGTGACACAAAACGGGTGTCCCTGTCTTTGCAGGAACTCTTGGTTGCATATTCCAAGTTGCTGGCTTTACAGATATTCGTTCTTACCATTACTGGGATCCCATCAAGCTGTCGGTTGACATAGAAATGTTTGTGGCAGAACTGCAGGTATCAGGAAGCAACACTTTAAATGTCTACTTAAAGCAACATCCCTATAGCCATCTAGTGTAGTGATTATAGTATTGGGCTCAAAGGAAGTATGTCAGGTGCAAAGAACCAGGGCCATACGTTCAGTTGCAGTTAAGATTTATTGCTCAATCCTATACACAAGTGTCTAGTCAATTATTGTTCAGCATTAAATTGGCACTAGATACAAGGATAGGAAAATCAGTTATGGAAGACTATAGAAATGGAAGACCACATCGATTCCTACAACGGAGGAATGGTTACAAAAACTGATGGAGCTAGCAGAGATGGCTAAACTGACTGTACTGATTTTAAAAAAAATACAAATACTTTTATTGCTATGTGGAAACCGCTTCTAGATTTTGTACTTGAGGTGGGAAAAAAATGACATTCTGATTGTGGGCTTTACCAATTAGATAGATCTGATGTTATTGAAATGGCTAGTTTATATTATTTTGTAAAAATAAAAAGTTGAGGTTTGAAGTCGATATTCTATTGCATCAAAGGAAGTCGGAAGTCAATGCCTTTTTTAAAAAAAAAAATAAATTCTCCCTTACCTCACTTTTCTACTCCCCTTTCCCTCCCCCATCTTTTCCGCTATTTACTTTGTATTTCGATTGTATCGTATATTATAAACTAATAAAACTTTGTAAAAAAGAAAGAAAGAAAGAAAATCAGTTACAGATCCTTTGTTTACTTCTGAAACCGAATGGCTATCCAATCCCTCTCACTTTAGCCACA